ACACACACTCACACTCACACTCACACTCACACTCACACTCACACTTTCTCACTCTCTCAGTCTCTCACTCACACTCTCACACTCTCACACATATACATTCACACATATACATTCACACATACATATACATATACATATGCGTATGCATGTACATTTACATTTATATGATGCATGATAATTGTCAAGTCTCACTTGACTATTTCTGATAAATATAGATTTATGTATCTCTAAACTTTAAATCACAATGTAAAACATGTTCCGTGTTAATAGATTAATTATAGGCATTAAAGTGTTTGAAGCATTATTACTTTGAAGTTTTATTTCCCATTTGTAAAAGCATCATTTATTCATAAAGACAGATTGGAATGTTGCAAAAATGCTGAAGGCCAGAGTTTTGCAATGGCATAGGCAGAAAAAGCTTTGGCTTCAATTAATGACTGGAGGTAGATGGGTCAGCTATTTGGACACAGGATATTTAGGGAAACTCGAGTTTTTTTTGACTTTCAGCTCAAGTGATCTTATTTTTATTTTTTATTCCATATACCTGTGCTTATATATTTTGAAGATTTTGTTAGTAATGTATATGTTTGCGATAGTCTGAGAGGTAGGCATTGATGAATAGGATCAAGTGATTAGGAAAGAGAAAAGAATGATATAAAGAGTGTTAGAAACACTTGGTAGGTTTAGTCTGTAAAGGCTTTGGCTTGGTATCATAATTCATAATATGTATGATGAAGCTTTATGATTTCAGGCTTTTCTCTAAGATAAAGGCATTTAGTTTATTCATATAACTTGCTAATGTTCATAGCAAGTGTAAAATAAGAACAATTCAATTACTGGTAGGGTGAAAATGATGTCTGTAAGTAATGTACTGTAAATATAAATCTTTCTCAAGACATCATAATCCTACTCAAATGGGCTATCAGACCAGTTCAGATATTATTGTTGAAGGACTTACTGTCAGAAGACCATATATATATAGAAGTCATATTTGCAAGTGTAGCATGTTTTTCCTTTATCAAGGTAATTTCATGTATTTGTTACAAGCATGAAGTGGGAGAGCAACAAGTCATTGTAACTTCTACCCTTAATGAAAGCAACTAAGAAGCAGATAACAAAACAACCATGATATTTAAATAGCATGCAAGGCTTTTGATATCATGCTTTGTAATATAATCTCATCAAAGTATGAGAAATATTAATAAGAATATTTTACCTTACTTTACAGTCCCAGGTGCTCCTCCCAGTAACATCCGTGCTGCTGCTGAAGACTCAGAGACAATCCATGTGGAGTGGGAGCCTCCCCCGGAAGACAAACAACATGGAAAGATCACCCACTACAAACTCATGTATGTCAACAACACACGACCTGATTCAGATGCTTCGGTGATCACAATATCTGATCCAACACAGCGGGATTACCTCATTACCAACCTGCAGAAATGGACGGAGTACAGAGTTTGGATGCTTGCTGGAACCATCATAGGGGACGGTGTCAAATCTGACCCCCAGCTAGTCCGCACAGATGAAGATGGTACGTGTCTAACTGGTTGCACATGTAAGGTAACTTGATTTGGAGAAAAAAAGTAAATCAGAGTTGTTTGAAAGGAATCACTTAAATCCTATTTGGAATGTTGATAGACAAAGGATATTGCAGACCAATTCTTCAGTATTATTCTTCTGCTTTGCCAAGTCATGCAATAAGCCAGGACTGAGTACTAAAAATGATTATCACTCTCTTTCTCAACTAGATAATGCTTTTCAGTATTTTGGAAGATGTATCATCAGACATAAATGAACAGCAGATACATGCTCTAGACATTAAGCAACCTGTTACTTTATCCTTCCTCACTGCATGAGCACCATGCACATTTATAATGCACATAGATAATAATAGATTTTGAAATTTGAGGCCATCAGTGCTTGAACAGGCTTAACTAGTCTTTGTAAATGATCTTGGTGGCTTGCTGTAGATTTGTGTGTAAAGCCCAGAGGAGTAGTAGAAGCCAAGAGCAGGGTAAAATCTCATAGGCCTAGAGTGGACTGTTAGCATTGGTGGCCTACCAGACTCTCAACTGTACACTGTCTTCTGTGACCCATTTCTCCTCAGGACAACATCAAACATGCAAACTGTGTAAGGAAGGGCAAAAGGAAATACTTTACCAGGTCACTGGGAATAGTTAGTTGGCTGATGGCATAATATGGTCTGTGATCTTACTAAGGATTAGGGGTTTACTTTATAGACTTTTATTAGCCAAGGCTCCAAAATAGTCATTGATAGAAGCATTAACTTTGCAAAGTAATCCCAAATTGCAGTAAGAATTCAGGCCATTTGAAGCAATATTGAAGGTAGTTCAACACAGAATTGTATGATGGTTAACAATTCCTTAGGGCTGTTGTCAAGCAGATATAACCTGCAGGGATGATATGCTAGATCCAGTTGAATGCTGAGATATTGTTGCAATTTTCATGAACAGTTATAAGTGATTTAGAAAAAAATTCTCAATATTTAGTTTTCACATTTTTAGAATACAGCGAACTTGTTCATTTTAGTATATTGGCAAATTTCTCAACAGACAAATAACATTGATGGAGAATTGAGTCTCAGCTTTTAGTTAGAAAATAAAAATGGCTAGCTTTGCCTCTAGATGAAATGGCAAGCGGCTTTGTAAAGGCATATAGGTCTCCTTGCTCACAGCTGCACAGAGATGACCATGTGCACATGTAGTGATCAGCACAAAACTGTTGCACGAGACACTTACAATATTGATATTCCACACCACAGTCATGGTCGACCCAGAGAGTCCTGACCACCAACCTGGCATTCTTAACAATTTTTGCCTTGTTATTTCCGGCAGTTCTTTCTTTATTTCCCTGTCACATGAAAACACCTTGAATTGTGTATTCTCTAAAATCCTTGTTCAGATTTACATGAACTGTGTAGTGTTTCTTTTTAAATGTTTTTCCTTTTCTTATCAACCCAGATAAAATTGGCTCCTAATATGGTATATGAAAATTAAGGAGATAGAACTAGTTTTCTCTAATGCAAGTTTTGTTGTAGGTAAAGAAAGTTGTGACAACTTGTTACACTCAGCAAATTGGTACAAATCAGTCTGTTACTGGATGTAACAGTGAGCCAGTATCAGAGTGCTAAGACACCCAATTACTGTTGCTGATTTTAAGAATTTAAAGGTCTATCATTAAGATAAGTCTTGAAGATACATATGCACTACAAAACTCCTTACAACTGAGATATGATCAAGTATCATTATGAAAGAATTGACGTCATAATGGCATAGACCGAGCTTGTAGTAAGGTGTCACATTATTTTCTCCTTCATTTTGAATGCTTTATTTCTATGCTAGCTAAAGTCATAAAGCTAAGAATGCCAGAATTTTTATATACTAACCAGACTCCAGAAATCACAAGTAGATATATTTATCACAGCTCCAACAACAAAACTTTCTGTACAGCCTTTCATGAACCTGTTATCAAACTAACACACTTGTTTCCCTGCCCCTTACAAGGATACATTAGTAAGTACAGCTCCCGCCTACATGAGGACAGCCTTGCTCCACCCTAATACATCATGGATGGCCTCCCAACCCTCTCCCCACTATTACAACATAGTAGAAAAATTTTCTTCACAATTACAAGTTACAATATTCACCCAGTTCAAACCTGTCAAGAGATTGATTGGCACAAAAAGCGAAGCAATCAAGTTCATAAACCTGTAAGAGAGACAAAAATGAAGAAATAGTGATCCACTTGTCAGGTCATGTATTGATTAGCTCCCAGAATTGCCCCTTCTTGAACATGGATAAACAGTTCCTTAACCTTCTCCTGCTCTTCACTGTAAACACCGCTGGCTCACAAACCCAAGACATAATACCATACCTTCTGTTCCTCTGTGCTGTTTTGCCTCCTGGGAAAATGAAGATGAAGGAGATTCATGTTTTTGGTGCCATATGCTTAGTAAATGTACATTTTTACTATTAGCCACATGTAAATTACACATAGGATAATGTTGATACAGCACTTGTGCAGTCCTCTCTCCAGTCCTCATAAACACTGTAATTCCTTAACTTACTACACTAGTGCCTAGGTAGCAGTAAAATTTATTTCTAAACCAACTATAATCTATATTACTAAGCATATTCTTGCCCCAAATTGACTTGACACAAACCCTTACATGTTCCCACCCTACAGCACTTGATTCCCTTACCCTTCAGTGTAAAGTATAAAACAAGTACTTGTGATAGGTGTCTCCTTCAGCTGCAGAAGGAATGTTTCCTTCAGAGCATCCTGTGGAATTCTTTTTATCTCAGCTGATGCAAGATAGCACATTAAAGCAGTTGTTAGAGAAATGTTTCTCATGCCTCTTGCTTTAAGATTGTTTGTTCTGACAGTCCCTACAATAGGCTTGAAGAGCTGCTAATGGATGTGCAGTACATATCCTGTATCATTGGCTGTTGGACAAGTTCCTCTGCTAGCTACTGTAGGATATCTTGCACTGTAACTGCTGTAGGGTGGTTTTGCTGCAAGTTATTGTGCATCTGAAAACCTCCCCTGAGCACGGTGTAGCTGGTCTCCGTAGTTACTGTTTCTTTTCGTGCTCTTTCTTCCATAGTTCTTTAGGTTGCTTAGTATTTATCTTTTGTTGCCACTGCTTTACACTCACTGTCACATGCACCAAGCACCACACTGTCTCTGTACTTTTCGTCTTTCCCTGTCTCTCTCTTCTTTCTCTCGCTCAGTCTTCGTATATATATTTATATATAAATATTTATTAAACCTAAACTTTCTTATCTGTCACTTTCTCTCACATCTATTATCTTTATCTACTCTACTCTCCTGCATGGATTATCTTTTTCTTCTCAACACTTTGTAGCAGATAATATGTTGGATGGTGTAAGGAAAAAAAAAAGAAAAAGAAAAAAAAACTCAGGTGGGATGTTGGCAGGCTATTGATGGCATTGTTTCCATTTTTTCCTCTCTTGCCTTCGATTGACAGCTAAACCGCTGCGTAAGTATACCAGGGTTTGTAATGCTATGTAGTTGTGGTGCTAGTAAGTGGTGTGAATTTTATTCTTACTTTTAATGCCATTTGTTTTTAGTTTCTGATACTCTAGTTTTATACATTTTTGTAGCTTAATTGCTTTCATCTTTTTTTCATTTATTTTTTTGTCTTTTGCACTGTTCAAGATAAGGAATTGGACTTTCAACATAGTGTCATGCATAACTATTTAGAATTGTCTTCAAAGTAAGGGAATTATTTTGATTGATACGTAGTACTTGTTGCATTTTTTCACTTTAGATATATTTCAAATAATGTTTTAGTTTGGTTTTGCTTTGTATCAGTGCCAAAGGGCTAAATTCAAAGCTGTCTGCTCAAAATGTATGAAGGGTAATGTTCATTAAATCCCAAAGACACTATAGATTTTGTCAAGAATGTTATGAAATCCCATTCCAGTCAAAACTGATAATTATACATGGCACCATTTTTTAAACTCTCGTTGTGAGAGAATTGCATGTATGTCGTGTCATCTGCGAGGTTTGGTGGAATGTTTACTGTGAGACTGTCAGTTGACCAGTCCAGCCTTTCCTCCTACCCAACTAAGCTGTGTGTCGGTCCTCTCTTATCCTCGCCCACCTTTCTCATCCTCTGATTACGTGCAAGAAAGGGGCTGTCTTTCCACTCACATAGTATTTCCTTTACTGTAGTCAGAGTAAATTAATCAGCATTTCTATCCCCTATTCAACTTGAAATGTGCTGTTTGTTCTATAGAAGCTATGTAAGTATTTGATGTGATTTTTCCAAAGTACAGTTTCAGGTAATGCGCTAACCCTTTGGAAATTCAGGTAATATAATTCTTAGAGTCCCTCCCCAAATGTTTTATGATTACCAAAGGAAGGGAACTGAGAAGTCCCTGTATTTGATAAGGTGTACCAGTATTTGCTAAAGTATCCCAGAGAATTTTCCAAATGGAGCTTAAGGGATACAAGTGTCTCGATATCTCAAGTAGATTTTGTATTTTTTTCCCTTTTTTTTTCTTTTTTTTTTATATTTTACTGTCTTCATTCTCAGGGTCCTTAGGGTGTGGTGTGTCAAATAAAGTGTTAAGTATAATGTTGACATAAGGGCTGAAATTTAGTTTGATCGACGATTACGGTATCTCGCGCGAGGCTTCGTAGGCTGCTCTAGAAGTGGTGTGTTGCTTTTCAGTATTATTATTTTTTTGAGGACTATTTTTATTTTTCTTATTTTTATTCATCTCTGTCTTATTGTACAGTGGAACAAGAACAGAGGAGGTGTACTGGTATTGTCTTCTTATGTCTACTACATATAATTTGAATATGCAGACTAGTTTTACAGATAAAGGCAAATGGTCATTAGCAGTTTTCACATACGGAGAGTACATTTTTTGGTGTGTTTCTGTAAAACTGTTAGATATAAAACATCACAGTGAACATCACTGGAGTTCATGTTTATCATAATACTGTTCTTATGCATTGATTAAGGATCATTGGTATATGCAGATTTTTCTTTACTGTGTAAAGGCTGTACTGAAGCCATATGTGTATTCTGTTCTGAGAGATTTTTAAGGAAAAGTTACTGTACTTTGAAAGTTATTGGGATAAAATTTCTTGGCATTATTTTCTATCTAATAGACTACATCTTCATGAGCAATGGTATGTATCTCTCAGTACTTCCACTGTGTTTAAATTGTGTTAGGGTCTAGATGTATAGCTGTTTCCTGTATTACTTTACATTTTGATGGACAAAGTAAAAAGTTGATATATTTGGTGGTGCTGGCTTTCAGGCATCCTTTCCTTTACCTTGAAAAAATGATTCTAATCTTTCTTTACTGTCCTCATAGTTCCTGGTGAACCACGCAACGTGAAGGTTGAGGTCATCAACAGCACAAGTATTAGGGTTACTTGGACTCCCCCCAACGAGAGGGAAAGAAATGGCATTCTTCGAGGCTACCAGATCCACGTGCAGGAGATGGCAGGAAGTGTGAGGAAAGATGCTTTTTGGAAGTAGGGCTTTTGTCTTTATAAAATGTTCCTCATGGTGTGCAGAGATTGTTAGTTTCTCTGAAACTAACAGAGAAACTAACAGAAACTAACAATACCTATTAGTCACAGGTCATTTTATTACCAAGCCTATAACTTCAGTATTTAAATGTACAGTGCTCTAGCAATATATTATGATATTCTAAAAAAGGTAGTGAGATTTTTTTTTCCTTTTTCAGGAAGGCAGTATGATTATTCCTGGTTCCATGCCATACACAGTTCACAATGGTGAAGCAACAAGTTATGTGGTTACTGATCTGCACCCTGACACAGAGTATCAGGTTCAGGTGTCAGCTATAACAAGAAAAGGTGATGGTGAGAGATCACTGCCTACAAAAGTGCAGATGCCAGGTGGTGTGCCCAACAAACCTGCTCTGATTGTGAAGTAAGTTTGCTGTGAAAGATTATGTATAATATAGTGTTGTAAAAGTCAACCTTTTGGGAATCCATTATATTTTTCATAATGAAATAGAATGAAGGATTAAACATTAGATGTCAGTATATATATTCAGATATTTTATGATTACATTTATTGTAAGCTAATGTTTTTATTCTTTGTTTCAGTGGGACTATAGACAAAGCTAATGGAAAACTGTCTGTGTTCGTTGAATGGAAAACTCCAACTGAGACTTATGGAGAGATAATGGGTTACCGTTTGAGATATGGACCAAGAGGTAAGCCTATAGACAACAAATTTGAAACTGATTATTATAAAGATTTTGATAACATAAATGTATTTACTTATTATACTTTTTTCTCTCTCATTTTTTTATGAAACAGTTGGCTTCAGATGGTTTATATTTCCTTTTATTTCACCAAGGAGAAAAGCTAAATACTGTCAGCCTTGAGGGACGCTCCATGTTGCACAAGACGCTAAATGATCTGCAGAGGGGAATCGAGTATGAGATACGTGTAGCTGGTCGCAACCACATCAACTACGGTCAGGAAGCAGTTGAATACTATATGACTCCTGAGGCACCACCGTCTGGGCCGCCCACCAACATTACATATAAGTAAGCTTGACACATATTTATAATTTTTTCTTTATCCTGTGTTGCTGTTTACTTTTTATTACAGCCTAGGATGCCTAGTATTTCACAGCTTCATTTGCACATACCTTTCAGCATAGATTAATTTTCTTTTGTGTGAGGGAATTAGACCAGGTTACATTTAACCACAGATATCAACCTCTTGATACTTTTTGATTAAAAAAAAATCTTTTCCTTCCATTTTTTTTTTCTTTTCTTGTTCTTGTGACTATACTAGGAAACATTTCATTACAGATACCAAACTCCAGGCACTATTGTTTTCACATGGGATTTACCCAAGCCTAATGAAAGGAATGGAGTTATTCATATGTATGATGTGGAGTTCAACAAGAATGTGATACTGAACAATGACTTCAAACATGAGAGGAACACTTCTGAAGGGAGAATAGTCTTTAATGGTCTTGAAGAGAACATGGATTATACTTTCAAGGTATGTTTTATTTTTGGGGGGTGAGCAAGTTTAATATTTTTATAGTAATATGGTCATATTACATAATGTATCACAGGCATGTGCTGTTCTTTGAATTCTAAATGGACTAAAAGGAGAAAGAAGTGTTAACAAATTTATACCTTTATTTTTCAGGTTCGATCTTGGACTTCAAAAGGTCCTGGTCCTTATAGCGAGGTTGTACACTTACACACGGAGCCTGACCTTGTTCGAGCACCCATGTCCCTTCAAGGACTCGCCACTTCAGAATCTTCTATTGAAATATGGTGGGAACCCGTTCCTTCACGTGGGAAAGTTATAGGATATCAGGTATGTATACACTTGAACGCTTCTGTAATAAAAGTATTGTAAGTATGGAATAAAAATGATTAACTTTGTTCTCATTTACTTCAGAATTATGATTACAAATCTTTTCTTACCAGGTGTTTTACACAATGGCTCCATCAGCCGATTTGGACCTGTGGACTCATATCAAAGTTCCAGTAACCCACTCGGCTGAACTGCAGAACTTGGAACGCCATGCTGAGTATGCCATTGCTGTAGCTGCCAGGACTGCAACAGTAAGTACTTTTTTTTATTAGCAAGTTTTTGATGAAATGCTGAAAAGCACATATTTGATGTATTTCATATAGGCATTAGAAGAAGTTGTCAGCAGATGTGAATATCATTTATTAACATTGATAATAGCCTGTGAGTCTAAAGGATGATGCAGTCATTAATTTGAAAGAAGCAGTTGATATTTGAAAGCTAATTAGAGAGTCAAGTGCTCTAAAGCATGGAAGCTGAATTGTGCAGGTGGGGCCCAGTGACATTACCACCCTTATCTCAATCATGCAATAACCCAGCCATCCTCATTTGTGCGCATGGTTAGATTGATAAGTCTGTACATTTCTTTGCTCTCTGAAGCACATCCAACTAATTTGATATAATTGTTACTATTTTCAGGAATTCAGTTTGACCAAAATATCTTCAGATAAAGATTATATACCTTACATTGTGTGGATTGGTTATTAAAATACCTTTAGTTCATTCTACAGAGAAATTAAACAAATTGCTCTCTTTACTAGGGACTAGGACGCTTGTCAACAATGCTACCTGTACGTGTAAAGCCAGTGGATGTACCAATGCACCTGCGCGCTCATCATGTCACCACACATTCTGCAAATCTAACTTGGGGCCCCCCTATTCAGCTGAACCCTTTGCACTTCAAGGTAAGAAATGGCAGAGAATCTTGTATAAGGATTCCTTTGTTTATACAAGATGTCACATTCTCAGTATGCCCATTTGTCTCAAGGATTAATAAAATACATGAGTAATACATGGTAACTGTGAAAAAAAATTTAATTCGTTATTTGAAATGTTGATAATAAACCTAATTCACTGATCATCCCACCCACCAGGTGACCTATAGCGCAGTGAAGGAGTTTGTTGATGCTCAAGGTGTAACTCAAGTCCAGAAGATTGGTGTAACTACCAAAATTGTGAATAAGCGCAAGCACAGCTTCATCATAGAGGATCTACGTCCCTTCACCACCTACACTGTGAATGTTACTGCTGTACCGCAGACCCAAGAATACCGTCCACCTGCAAAGATCACTGTAACAACTCAGATGGCAGGTAAGATTTTCACATTAACAATTGGTAAGGAAGTATGATTATTTACATAAGTATTAAACTTATTGGTGGCAGCAGCAGCCAACAGAAGTAGTAGAAACAATTTCAGTAGTAACAGCACGACAACTGGTGGTAGTGTTAACTTCAGAAGCAACAATGCTAGTAGTGATATTTACAGACTATGAAATTTACGGAGTTATGATGTCATTATTTGAACTTTCTGGGTCCTGATGACAGTACTCTTTGGTTCCAGCTCCTCAGCCAATGGTGAAGCCTGACTTTTATGGTGTTAATGGTGACCATGAGATAGCCATGATTTTACCTCAAGCGTCAGAGGAGTACGGGCCAATAGCTTTTTATTACCTTATAGTTGTGCCTGAGGACAATCACCATGCCTTTAAGAACCCTGATCAGTATCTCACGGATGATGTAAGTATCTGGGAAACACTGTAGAATGTTATTTGTGAACTGAATAGCATACTGTCAACTTGAAATATTCTCATTTTGTACAATATTAGTTAGCTTCAAGAAGAGCAAAACCAGATGATTTAAGCATGTTTGGTGGAATATACAATACATGTTAAGGTGATTAAGCACTAGTTGTAAAATTTATGGAAAAGCCTTGTGAATGATACAGATTAAAACATATTAGCAATAGAAATAAACTGGTGGCATGTCAACTTTTCTTGATACCAGCTTCCTATCCTTGAGCTTTTACCTTTGCACTCTGATCCTTGCACAATTTTTCCAGTTTTTTGAATTGTTACACCAGATTTTTACTAGCCATGTGTTTGCACTGCAAAACATTTTTATTTTTTCATTTTTTCCTCCATTTTTTCACTCTCCCTCCCAATCAAATCCTACTTTCCTTTCATGCATCCTTTCTTTCCCCAATCTATCCATCCATCAGGCCTGTCATTGCCCCCAGATTCCTCAAAAAGGATTGATTTCTACAATATTAACTTTTCTATTTTGTTAATCAATTCCCGTATCTCATTGCCAAACATGATTATAGGGCAAATCACTTCATCACGCTTCATCTACACCTGAAATACACAATCATGGTGTGAGTATTGTGTTTCTTGATATTCAGCAGAATCTTATATTCTCATAAGAAATACATACTTTACAGTCTAAAAGTATAATATACATACTAATAATATCGCTCATAAAAGTTACCTACTTGCTAATGATAATCTAAAGATATTATCTACTGGTGATAATATCTAAATGCTTCTTAGAAGATTAATACAAACCAAAAGGATTAATCTAAAGCTACAGTGGACTATCCATTTGCCTTTATTAGTAAAATTTCCCCTTATTCTACAACCTAGTGTGATTGAGAATATCTTCACAATGCTTTGTTTCAGAAGGGGACTGATATTGATACAAAATTATTGCAGAAAATGGACTGAGTGCAAAGGATTCTGCTGCATATACCTTGTTTAGCATGTATGCCTTGTTTAAAACAAAATCTTGTATACTACTATATTCCACCTTTTAGGTATATGAATTATTTAAGATTTTCAATGGGGATTCAGAAACAAACCAAAAAAGGTAATGGAAATACTCTAAATTCAAGAATAATCTGGTAAACAAATAACAACAAAATAAGACAAAATTGTAAAGAATTCTAGCAGATTAATTTTGAATACTCGATCTCTTCCAGCTCATAGCCAATAAGGCTGGAAGCAAGGAAGCGCTAGCTGAAGGACCCTACATTGCAGCTAAGTTCCTACATCGCAACATCCCCTATTCCTTCTCTCTTGGTAATGGTCAGATTTATGAGGGATTCAAGAACAGACCATTGCAAAACAACAAGAGGTATTTTTGAGTTGAGGTTTAGTGTGTTTTGGTAAAGATTTTGAAACTTTCCAGTCTCTGAAGTAATTGCAAAGTGATTAATATTATATTCTTTTTCTCCCTTCCTGAAGGTACAAGATCTTCGTAAGGGCCATTGTCGACACTCCTGGACAGGTATGTCTTTTCAGAACAAAGCATTAATTAATGCATATGGTATTAACACAACTTTTGCAGTATATTCTAAAGAATGGTTCTTTGTACTGTTCAATGTTTCTGCTGTTAATTCTTTCTGGCCTAACCAATGTCACCCATTACATGATGTTTTATATCTCTGCAGCACCTCTACACTTCATCACCCTTCTCGGACTTCATCTCGTTGGACATGCGAGCTGCACCCAGAGGGAAGCTCCCAGAGCGCCCCAAGCCCATCCCTGACAACGTGGGAACAAATGTCCCCATTCCAGGCCCTGGGAATGATATGGAAATGCTCATGATTGTTGGTCCTGTCATTGGCGCTGTACTGCTGGTGGTCATATCTCTATTCTTGTTCCTCTTTGTTTGGAAGTGAGTCTCATTGTTGTTTTTGCACACATTGTCTATTGACGTAATATTTTCTCTTCTGTTGCCTTTTTGATATTTCATGAAAGTATATTCACACAAGTGGTGATATTTAGTAATGGTATTTCACAAGCCAACTCATAGGTAATATTTATACACAAGTGTACTCATAACACTCACCTTCCCAGGCGTCGCAGGCAGCCCAAGTCCCGTGACCAGGCTCAGGTGACGAAGCCCTTAATGGCTGATCATGGCGGTGGTCATGTGGGTGGAGGGATCGGTGGAGGTGGAGGCAGTGTTGGCGTCATCCCGGCTGCTCCCTCTGATCCAGTGAAGATGCGACGACTCAACTTCCAGACCCCAGGCATGATCTCCCACCCTCCTATCCCCATCTCACAGCTTGCCGAGCACATTGAGAGACTCAAGAGCAATGACAATCAGAAGTTCTCACAGGAGTATGAGGTAAAGATGTCCTGTATTTTTTTTATGAGCAAAGTCAGTGGCAGTTTGAAGGACCAAAAATAATTCATATTTTTGTATGGAATGTCTTTAAGGTGTTGTTGTCTTGCATACTCATGTAGATATGGTGTATCAGTACACCAGAGAATTAGTATCAACTTAAAATAAATTTGTACAAGAAAATGAGTTATTATTATTATTTTTTTTACAAATCAAAATCCACATTAGAAGACTAGAGAACAGCTTCACTTGATTATGACTAAATACAGTTTACACATCTTTTTGGGTTTATGATTTGTCTGATCCTTGAATTCACTCTATTCATGGCTATATTAAGAAATTTAATTCCCAATTTTTTATTTTTTATTTTTCCCCTAATGTTCCTATATCATTTCCAGTCAATTGAACCAGGACAGCAGTTTACTTGGGATAATAGTAACCTTGAAGTCAACAAACCAAAGAATCGCTATGCCAATGTGATAGCATATGACCACTCAAGAGTTGTTCTCCAGACTCTTGAAGAAGTTCCAGGAAGTGATTATATCAATGCCAACTTTTGTGATGGCTATCGCAAACAAAACGCGTATATTGCCACTCAGGTATGTATTTTTGTATCCCTTTCTGAGTGGCATTTATAGGTGCTCCTTTATTGAGGGTTGTGGGTCAGTGAAGAAATTTGGCTTTTCAAATGCTATGATCATTCTACCAGGATTGCATTTGCATAGACGTCAACATAAGAGAAAAGTAGTTGATGTACTGAAAAAGTCTGTGATTTAAATTAGATTTGCTTGAAATTGAGAAAAGTTAGTGTCTGATAATTTAATTTTGATTTTCACTGTGAAATTTTGTGCAGTGATCACATCATATGCATAGTATTTATAATAGAATTCTTTTAATTTCTCTTATAGGCTTTGCAATCTAATCTATATTTGTAATTCTTCAGGGTCCACTTCCGGAGACTTTTGGAGACTTCTGGCGTATGTGTTGGGAACAGCGCTCTTGTACGATTGTGATGATGACTAAGCTGGAGGAGAGAACTAGGATCAAGTGCGACCAGTATTGGCCTGGGAGAGTATCGCAGACAGAAACTTACGGCATCATGCACATCACCCTGACTGACATTCAGGAACTAGCCACCTACACTGTGAGGACTTTCCAGTTGCAGAGAGTAAGTACGGTATTTTGGTGTACCTTTTTTCTTAGTTAACACTTTCTGATGTGCAGGAAGTGAAATAGGTATACTTGAAGAATAACATATTTTTATGGTTATACACTCTGTGTCACTATAAGCAGGGAAGTTGATATTGTTTAGTGTAAGTGGAAAGCACAAAACTTACCAATACTGTCAGTAGTGTTAGCTTGAAACAGTTAATTTTCATGTGCCTCAATTACTTATCTATTCTTCATTACAGTCTGGCAATTTGGACCGACGTGAAGTGCGACAATTCCAGTTCACCGCCTGGCCTGACCACGGTGTTCCTGACCACCCAACACCATTCCTCATGTTCCTACGGCGTGTGCGACATGTCAACCCACCAGACTCGGGACCAATTGTCGTTCACTGCAGGTATGAACTTTTTTTCTTCTTCTTCATTGTAGAATTAGATAATTATCCACTTTTATTATTCTTTACTCTAAAATACGAAGCTTAGCAAAAAAAGATGTATTCATTTGTGTTGTAAATTTCAGTGCTGGTGTTGGCCGAACAGGAGCTTTTATTGTCATTGATGCCATGCTGGAGAGGATAAAACATGAACAGAGTGTCGATATCTATGGACATGTGACCTGTCTGCGCGCTCAAAGGAACTACATGGTATGACTCGCAGAAGATATATGTCGAATCTTGAAGTAGTTTCTTTTTTTTTTTGTATTGGTGTTATTCAATTTGACAGTAGGTTTTGTAATACCTGGAGTGTCCCACTGAGATTGTTTGATTTCTTTGTTATACTTAGTAATATTCTGCACCAGCTATGACCATTTTTTTTTTTTTTTTTTTTTTTCTCCAAAATTTTCTTCAAACATCTTATTGTTTTACATTGATTTTTAATACCTCTGAAAATTTCAGGTCCAAACCGAAGACCAATACATCTTTATACATGATGCCCTCTTGGAGGCTGTGATGGCAGGGGCATCAGAGGTGCCAGCACGCAGCTTACACTCGCATATCCAGAAGTTAATGGCTGTTGAAGCTGGTGATACTGTGACAGGCATGGAACTGGAATTTAAGGTGAGCAAATCATCATCTTATTTTACTTGTTCCTCTTCTTTATTTGGTGGGGGGGAAGGACATTTTTAATTCCCCAGAGATGAAAAAGGAAAATAAGTAAAAACCTTGTTTCTGTTTGTGATTACACTTTAAAAAGAATGCAAAGGATGAATTGATTAATAAAGATAACATTTATTGCCCACAGCGTCTAGCAAACATCAAGGCCCAACCATCGAGGTTTGTTAGTGCCAACCTGCCTGTAAACAAATTCAAGAACCGATTAGTAAACATCCTGCCATACGAAAGTACTCGTGTTTGCCTTCAGCCTCTCCGTGGCAGTGAGGGATCAGACTACATTAATGCCAGCTTTATTGATGGCTATAGGTGAGTTTATTTTGGACTTTCTGTTATAATTGTTAAAAGACAGTCCTTTGTTTTTCTTTCCTTTTTTTATTTGATATAGATACATAAATCAAAGTGTCATATATAGATGGGAATTGTATTGTCATAATGAGGTACTATCCAATAATTACGCTTTTTCTAATTACTCGTGCATTCACAAACTATCTACAAATTTACTTTCCAGGTATCGCTGTGCTTACATAGCAACACAAGGTCCATTGCAAGAGACAGTTGATGACTTCTGGCGGATGCTTTGGGAACACAACTCCACCATTGTTGTCATGCTCACCAAGCTCAAGGAGATGGGCAGGGTGTGTTTTTATTGTGTTCTAGGTTTTACTGCATGTTATAGTGGGTAGAGCAGGCAAACACCAATCAGAAGTCTTCATGTTTTTTCTAAGTCTTCTTTTTCTTCTTCTTCCCATTGCTAAGATATTCCTGTTTCTTGTATTATGCACCTGACGAAGTTTATTCTTGGAAGTCAAAATGCAGGGAATACATTTTTTGTCTTCTTTGACAACTTTTTTTTTACAAGCAAAGATGAATACCAGGATTCCTTGCTTAGAAGTGCAATAAGAAATAATCTGATTTCTGAATTCTTTGGTTTTGAATAGGGAAACACAACAGTGTAGCATTAATTACCATCTAAGAAATAAAACAGAGGGGAGTTTAAGCAAACTTATATTTGTGTGATCATGTTAGTACTCTGGTACAACCTCAGAGCACTGGACCAAAATGTAAGAGAGATATTACCCGTATTGGCCAAAGCATGGTTGTACCTCAAGTCAAGAGTTATGGGGCCTGAGGGGATTATGAACACATGTAATCAATTTTTTCTTTTCTTTTCTTTTAGGAAAAATGTTACCAGTACTGGCCAAATGAACGTTCTCAACGATATCAGTTTTATGTGGTGGATCCAATAGCTGAGTATAACATGCCTCAGTATATTCTCAGGGAGTTTAAGGTACAGTATGCTTTTCTAAATTGTTCACATTTTTAAAGATTTATTAAAACACAGTTTGAAATTATTTAAAAAGTTGTTTAATATGATGTATTTTGGAAGATATGTGATATGTGTCATTTGCAAGATTAATGACAAAGAGAAATTATTGATTATTTATTTAAATATTATTTTGTTAAGGTTACTGATGCTAGAGATGGACAGTCTCGCACCATACGACAGTTCCAGTTTATTGAATGGCCAGAACAGGTGAGTTTCCTTCACTGACCCTAAATTATTCTTGCTCAACATTTAAGAATTACTGTTGTATAGGAACACTTGATTTTCTTTATACCATTTGCATAATGCATATCTTGTTCCTGCTTGTTTGAACAGTAATATATGTAAAGCTGAAACCATTAGAAACAATTTTCATCAGCTGTTCAGGATTGTGTCTGTTAGCAGCTAAGGTTATTCAACCATATTTTCTTAATAGAATAAAATGACTCAAAATATTTAAATAATACATGTTTATGTTTCATACGTACCTATATTTCATTTCACTAGTACTGTGTTCACATATTATTTTCCCTCTGTAACCCAGGGTGTGCCAAAGTCTGGAGAAGGGTTCATTGACTTCATTGGCCAAGTGCACAAGACAAAGGAGCAGTTTGGACAGGATGGGCCTATCACTGTACACTGCAGGTAATGCTGAAAAGAACCGTTTAGGGAAATGTAGACATATGCTAATGTTCTTCAGGATGACACCTTATTTTGGTGATGTTCATTCATTGTATTGAAAAAAAATATATATATAATATAGGATGACACTGAGAACTAACTTTATGATGATGGTTGATGGAAATACAGATAGTTTTTTTGTGAGTGTAAGGTAAATAATTGCTGCAGTTTACTGAAAATAATAGCAATCTGTTAGGATTATTATGAGAATAAAATTCAAAGCAGTCAAATCCCACAAGCCTTTTGAAAATCAAAACTCGCCTGCTTTTCCTGACAATTTACTCGCTCTTTCAGTGCTGGCGTTGGACGTACCGGTGTCTTTATCACCTTGAGTCAGGTCCTGGAGCGCATGCAGTATGAGGGTGTTGTTGACATGTTCCAGACCGTCCGCAACCTCCGCACACAGCGTCCTGCAATGGTGCAGACAGAGGTAAGAGAAAAATTTATCAGCCTTTTTAAATTGCCTTGGATATTGTTCCGGCACCAGATTTTTTAACAGTTTGGCTATTTGTCCAGCATACAGGCGCACTAACTATTTGAGTACAAACACACTCGCGCATTAGCCTTGCATACAAACTTCAGGGCTATATTTATGTTGTTCATTGTTCATGGCTAAGGGTCGATCATCGATTATGGATTCCTTCTAAGTTGGAACTGAATTTGTCAGTTTTGCTGATATGAAGGACAGCTTGACCAAATTTCAAGAGAGCACTTTCGCACAGTTTTATGTCAAAGATTCAAGGATTGTTGCTGCAGCTTTGAAGCATACACCGGATAAGAAAGTAAAGCCAGAGTTGAAGTACTCCTACTTATTGTTTGCCGGCATCGGGAAATACGGCATTTGGGAGAGGGTCCGGGGGCGTAGCCCACGATAGGAAAATACAGCAATTGGGAGGGGGTCTGCGGTTCATCACTTCCCAGCCACTGTCCCCCCAGCTTTAAGGTAAACTCATTTTGTATTACTAAGTGTAGTCAGTGGCGACCTAGAAGTACCGGTAAGGAAGATAGATAATCGGGAGGGGGGTTAGGAGGAATTTTTGGTTCATATAGCGATCCTACTGGTAGTTGTGCATTCAAGATGCAGTTCACTCGCTCGTTCATTCGCGCAACACAGTGTCAAATCATCCATGGCCGAATCTTCTCTCGGGTTCTTATATTTTTCACTTTATCATCTGAAATGGTATCCTTGGCTCGGATCTTCAATTTCCCATTCTTTTGCTTTTTAAAATGCATGGTATGAACGAAATCACCCCCCCCCCAACCCCCGATTCCCCACGGGATGCCCCAACATTGTTGGCGGGAGTAGGGGATTGTAGCAAAAATAGCATGTGTGTCCACTCGGTCCTAAGAATAAATAAAAATTTTGATGTGCGCCCCTGCCGGAAAAAGCTCTTCAGTGCAGGCTTCCGACAAAAAACGCCGGAAAAATATCCCAGCAGTCTCGATACGACTATGAATATTGTGTAAAATGACCAAGACAGAATTATTGACAGTTCTCAAGCGCGAGTGTATGCCGGACGAATAGCCAAAATGTTATAAAATCCGGTGCCGGAACAATATCTACGGCATTTTTAAATTGAGTGTTACCTTTATGAGATCTGCCCAAATACAGGTGATTATTATTTTTATCCATGCTATTATCTTGAGTAATAGAATAATGTCAAGTTATTGCTCAGACCTTTTATCTATTTGTAATCCTCAGTTCAATTTTTTAATCAAGATTATGCTATAATCAGGTATGTCATTTTAATCTTGGATTTAGCTCATTCTTGCTGAGAATAATTTCCTTGCTGTATCAGTTTTCTTATGTAGCATATTTTCATAAAATCTACAGACAGGTGGTTCTCGGAGGATTTACCTACTAAACTCATTATGTCCTTGGGGAATCCTAATTAGTGTGAATATGTAAAATGGCAGACACCCATTTTTTTCTTACACAAACTTACCAATATACTTTATTCATTGTTTTAGGAGGAGTACAGGTTCTGCTACTTGGCCAGTCTGGAGTACCTAGACAGTTTTGATCACTTCGTAGACTGACTATCAAGGCCTGCCGGCACTCGCCTGCAATCTGTGTGGACCTGAGAAAACAATCAGGCTAGCTCGGGTGCTAGAGTAAGCAAATAATTGTAGGCAGTTAGTGGTGATAAGTTGCACTAGAATGAACCATTTATCTCTGTGCTGCAGAGGTGCTCTCTCTTGGAAAAGCAGATGCTGTGTTGTGTCTTGCTGAGAAAGAAATATTGGGCTCATTCAAAATAATAATAAGGCTGGTGTGAAAGAATTTTCATGTAGTGAGACTTTCTTCAACTCCCCAGAGTTAGCACTACAGAAACTTCATGAATGGCCAAATGCAGATAGTGCAATAAGTTTTATCATGTATTTAAATATCTGATTTATATATTTAAAAGAGTTGAAATCAAAAAAATATTATGTTGGAAACTTGCACCCTCCAAGATGTCATTTCCATGGAAACTAAACAAGAGACAGTGGACGACTTGCTTCCCGTTGACTGATGACCACAAAGCTCATGTCAGTGATAGCATGAGTGAAACCAAGCTGCCTTCTCAAGACTGTCATGGGTGATGTCAGAGAAGCTGTGTTAAGAAAAGATTTATTACTAGTACACTGAAGCTGGATTTTAAGAAAATTGCCAAGACAACAGAGCAAGTCAGTGGAGGGACAATTGGAAATGCCATCCCTCAATACATCTAGGCGACAAGATGCCACGGTCATTTCCTTCAGCATGTTTTAATTCTCAAACACAGATGGAAATTGTAGCTCATTTTGTAGATAGTATAGCACAAAATGTATAATGACAATGAAGGAATGAAGAAAAAATGATCTCAAAATTACAGAACCAATATTGGGTGCTAATGTGTGTAAACATCACCTCTTCTAATGTGCCAATATATGGGCATATGCTTCAGTGTTAGTTATGAAGACCAAGATGAAGAAAAGTTTTATATTGTAGGTAATAACTTTCTTTTATGAGAAATTTGTAACTGTGTGAAAGAAATTTTTCTTCAGGTTAGACAATTGGCAGAGTCCTCTTAGTGTATTGCATACAACTGTATTTGGTGATGCAAATCTTGGTGTGGTGTCATCGTTTGAAAACAGGAAAATATATTGACATGGATGTGCTCTCAAACTACTTGCAGAAATTGCATAAATGGAACATCATAAGTGCTTTCACAAAATGTAGGTTTAAGTTATTAAAGATGTCTAAACACAAAGTACATATAGAATCATCCATGTAAATAGGGGTGTTACTCCCTCACATGGGTTTACTTTCGACCTATACATGATGAATTAACTCATTATAGAAAATGAAAACAAAGTAAAATGCTTCCCAAGAAGTTTTTCAGCCATTTCAATTTATGAATGTAATTTTAAACAATCTGTGTCCAAACTTCCAATGCTGCATGAACCCTGAAGGCTATCTGTACTTCTGATGACTGGATATGAACTTCAGAGAAAAGCATTTTACTTTTATAACTAGATTGTTAAAAGAAAAAAGTATAATGAAAATGAGAAACCTTTTATTGGTGTGACACTGAACCCTTGCCTTGTTACCATGATGTAGGTCAGATACGTTGGTCTTTAGTTTAATGTTTTCTTTCTCTCTCTTTTTTGTTTTAGGTTAGTGTTCTCCACAGTGTTGCACATATATATATAGTTGTGTATTCCAGGATCATGATATTAGGTTATAGTACTTATTTTTTCATGTTTTTGTAAGAAACTTGTTTTGTTTCATACTGACAATGTGACCATTCACTTTATATTAATGTTTAAGTGTACTTTTTGTACAAACTTTTTTGTGTGAATGAGCAGATGAGCCAAGTTTGACAGAGTAAGCAGATGGTCCTCGTTTAAGAGTGTTCGAAATAGCCAGCCAGTTACCAGGTGCAAGGAACAGTTAAAGGCACAGATCCAGTCCATACCACGAAACTATTTTCTGTAGAACTGACTGTTGCAAAAAAATAAAAAAGAAGAAAAAAAGGAAAAAAAAAAAGGACAAAAGATGGCTTAGACATCTCGCTGTACTAGAAGAAGTAGGGGAAAGAATATTGCCAATAACTGTCTTTGTTACTTAGTGAATGTCCAAATGTTTTTCAGCTATACTTATTACTCTTAAATTGAATAAATGAATAAAATATTGCCAAGGCTGGTTTATACGATAAGCATAATTTTCATGAGTTAAAAATATGTGATGTAGCATACTAAAGCATGAGTGAGGATGAGGATGTAAGAGATAGTAAGATGACCGTGAATATTATTTTTGAAGAAGAATTTTCTCAACTAGAGTAATTCCATTCTGTCGCGGTATGTTTTTATTGAAATTTATTTGTTACAATTGAGCTAATGACATGACTAAACCGATTACTTTGGTTTGCTGAATATGTTAGCAATATAGACAGATTCCTGCAATAAGAAATTCAAAGTTCTGTGACCTATGAATGCATATCAAGCACTACCATAAGTTGCTTCATAATCATTGTTGTCTCTATATATCATGTAACTCGGTGCATCGTGGGCAGTGTTAAGGATGTTTCCTATGAACTTGGTCTCAGGTGTCAGGAGCACACTTGGTGGTATTGAAGAAAATGGAAAGGCTCATGCTGTTAGCTTCCTCTCTGATACACAGGGTAGTAGGAAAAGTGCCATGTATATAATAAAAAGGAAGGATATGTTAAAAATAAGGAAAATGAGAAAGACCATAAAAAACCATATCAAGATTGCCTTGACATGCTGTGTTTGTCACTGAAGAGCCTATACACTGTTATGGAAGCAATATAATAATACTCAAGTTGGTAAAGGCAATTTATCAGAGAGTAACAGTAAAGCATTCCTGTTGACCTGACCTACAGTAATGTGTAAGGGGCATTTCACTAACATTTTCCTCAACTCCACCTTGCTGCTGCCATGACTGGATACTGTTTAATTTGTTTTGTAAGTCCTGTAGCAGAGTAATACACACAAAATGTGAAAGCATTGTCACGGTAACATCACAGTTTCTGAGGATGAAAAAAGGTGTTATGTACAGATCTCTCTCCCTCTTCTTGCTGTTAAACTCTCATGATTAGAGTGTATACGTTTTCATTATGTGTAAGTGCATTTACTTATTTCCAAAGCATTTATTCTGTACATCCCAGACTTTAAAAAGAAAAAAAATGAGGCTATCACATGGCATTTTCAG